TGAAAATTATCATTCGTGATTGGCGGGGTTTTTCCCGCCCTTTGGCCAAAGTTACCGCAATTCCGGAGATACTAGGAGGCGCAGGCGCACTTTCTCACGCTTCCATGAGGTTGGTCATGGAGAAGAACGATAATGGTTAGTGTTGGACTTTCATTTTCAGTCAGTTTTAGTTTCCTTTCTTGCTTCTCGATATCTTCCGTCACAATTTGTTTAGTGTAGTTGCAGGTAATTGAGTAGTTTTTTCGTCCGGCGCGCTATTTTTCAATTCTAACATCTTGCGTTTACGATTTTCCGCAGAAGTCATTTTCCTTGGGGAGAGACGGCTCTCTGGTAAGTGAAAGTTGAATACCTCATTCAATAACATGTAAATGAGTGGCAGGGTATTCTGCAGTCGCTCCTACTTAATTTGAATACATGCTAAGTAGATAAAGGTCTCTATCACAACAAGGTCAACTTCAGCCTCACTCTGAATCAAAGGCTTGGCAACTAAGTACACAACTGTAAAATGGCCTATTGGCGCGTTGTCGTTTTGCTGTTTCTATTTTCTTCAATAAATGAAGAAATTTCCTGGTCGTCTGGCTGTTTTTCTTCGTTTAATTCATCTAACAAACTTGGATTTACATTTGCCAGCCATTCTTACTCGTCGTCGCCGGAAATATAATTCAAATTGTCCGCCAATTTTTTTTTTCGTAACAACAATCCAATTCTTTGCTTGCGCGTGCGAGAAAACCTGTTTAACCGTTACTCTAGAGTACAAGTACCGCGTGATATTTTTACTCGTCTATGGCGTTATTTGTACTCTACGAAGTGTAGTTGGATAATAAATCATCATATCCAACACCACGTTGTTTGGTACCAAACAGACATTCCTGCGAAACAATATGCGGATGTAATATACGCACAAAAGCAACAAAACTGATCGGGAACAAATAGAAAAATAACAGCTGATAATGTACTCTGTTTAAGCAAAAGCAACAAATGTAAGCTTATTACGATAAAGCTCACATAAGTATAACAAATGCGTTTATCCTCACTCTGATGAAAGTCCAGCATGGCATCTTTGTTTTCGTTTCCTAGAGTTTGATCACGAGGCACCTTGGTTTTATCAGCAAATGTTCTTCTGTCACTCTGTCCATATTTAACTCAATTGATTTCTCAGGTTTGATTCGAGGGAGACCTTTGCTAAATCATCTGATTCTTTTGCTATTTTGAATTCGCGGAACGACCTGTTTCGAAATATACGCTCATTACAAACGCTATCTTTTAAAGTGGATCTACCGCGAACGGTGGTGTGTGGGTCTGTAAGTTCGAGCGTAGAAAACATGACACCATTTAATTTGTTAACATAGTCGACATAACCACCATCTTCGACATCGTGGAAAGAAGGTTGCGCCGTTATTACGTGTCTGCGGTATTCCCCATTGCACGTGACTGAGCTTTGTGTAGCGGCCCTCTGGAGCCTGGCGCGAGAAGGGAAAATGAGGGCCTGCGGACAAGGCCGTTGTTGTTGCCTATCCCCGTTCAAATGCGTACGTAGAATTTCATTGGACGATACGCTCGCAGCTTTCTTTAGAAGACATAAAGCAAGGATCATATCAGATCGTCTATTCATCGCCAGAGTGTGCTCTAGAGAAGGAGTTTCTTGAAGTTTTGCGGAAAGAAGGGCAGTTTCACGACAACATGGCGGCAGTTGTGATCGATGAATCACACACTATTGAAGCGTGGACTAGTCGAAGGTGAGTTGTTTATTCGCAAATTTTCGTTCTATACAAGGTATATCTTTTTGAATGAATTCCTACTATGGAATTATTTGCCTTTGAGAGAGGCTTATATTTGCATACATACTATTAAGGTAAACAAAATATCTTGTCCATCGATCACTGCCTTTTATCACACTGTCCTACCAATAGTGGAAGGAATTTTGTAGATGAATGTTTTATGCTTGCAAATTTTAGGAAATTTGGTGCAAACGATGTGCATTTTACTTCCGGTAATTGCTGATTGGTTCATTTTGTGAGGCGTGTTTTTGAAATTTAGTTGGGGGCGGATGGTCAACAACAACGGCCTTGTCCGCATGCCCTCATTTTCCCTTCTCGCGCCAGGCTCCAGAGAGCCGCTACGCAGGCTATATAGTCGGTCCCCCGACCAACTAGTGTAAGAACACGCGTGGCTACTAAGAAACGAAATACAATGAAAATAACTAAGAGAAACCTAAGCTACACAATATAAACGCGATAATAAACGAACTACCAAAATGTACCTGATGAGCTTGCCTCGAAATCACAATAAAATAATACTTAGATTTCCTAGAAAATTACCACGAGGCCGCGACATCGCTAAAGAACGTGTACAAAATATAAGTAACCAATGGCTAGGAAGATACGAGGCAAGCTATACGAAAATAGAAACAGAATATTAAAAACTTTCAGATCGATCCCGTAACGTCAATGGCACGCACAACTAACAGCTCGATCGACGACGACAAGGAAAACGAACCTCAACTAAGACAGCTAAGTGAAATTGATCAAAAGGCAAAATCGTAGCCCAACTGTAACGCAATGTCACGCAATTACAAAACAAACTTAATAGAGTAAATGCATTCAAAGAAAAGGAATGTGTATCTGTTTCTTGTCAAACAGACATTGACCACAAACAGATCAACGATATGATAAAAAGTGTGTCGGATAACAAAACAATTCGAAACGAACTCAATAACAAGCCAGCATTGAAACGAAAACTTCTGGATGATGTACTGAAAAATGACGAATCCGTGAAATTCTACACGGGATTTCCGACGTTGGCCTGTCTAATGGCTGAACTGGAAATTGCAGTATCCATTCTGCTGATCTGTCTCGTCATCGCTTAAATCGTGGTAATTCAAATTCTCCACATGACCGTCTACAAGTTAAGCGAAAACCCTCAAGACTTTTGTACGCACAGTCTTCAGTAAACCTGAAGTCTGGAATACCAGTGAAGTCATGGGTCCAATCCTTAAGCGAAAGTGAATGGGGAAGTAATTTTCCTTCTGGCAATGTTATCTTGGAATTGAATAACTCTTCAATTTTGGAAATTTTATTTCCGCAGCATTCTAAAAAACCTCAAGTAGTCTGCTCTTGTATTCCCCTCAGCCTCGACTTGGTGCTAAAACTAGTTACCAGACTCTCGCAAAAACAACTCGAAACTAACCTATCTTAACGAGTGGGAAGACTTTGTAAACGACATTAAAAGGGATTTGACGGAACATAAATCTTGAATAAAGGTAATGTATACGTACAGAAACATAAACACGGTAATGTTACGGTGTGTACACAAACTTGCATACTTCACACTTGAACGTAGAACGCTGAATACTGTAAACAAAAATACCCTGTAGCACGCTTTACGTCTCCCGAAAGCTTTTTAAAACATTTCTTGCTTTATTGTCTGAAAGGTAGTGTTCATCATATCATGACAGCGACTTTTACTTCAGTTGGACTATTAATAAGCGTAATATTTTCGATAAAATTCTGGTTCAGTGGTGAAAAAATCGCTGGAAAGTGTGTTAAAAGTTCCGGCAGCCGGCTGTTATCTTATTTTTAAGTCATGGGTACATGTTTCCGTAGGAATTTCCATGTCAACAGTTTGCTATGTCAATCACAAACTCCTTCGTGATTCTCGCTGCCCCTTGGTATGTAACACGTTTCTACGCTATCGCATACCCACGAGTTAAAAATGAGACCAAAGTCAATTGGTTAATACTTGCCAGATTAAGGTACTTAAATGTACCCATTAAAGATCTGCCCGTGCAAACTCGCATAGCTGTAAATTTGCATTACGATCTATGACGAGGCGAGATTTTCAAAAGAATGTTAACAAGTTTTTGTCCTTCGTTTTGTTGTTTTGTTTGTTTATATTATTTTCTCAGGAACTGCTAGCAAGCCGCTGCTAGATTTTGCTAAGAAAGAACGCATCCAAAGTTTTGCAGATGGGTGGGGATCACACAGAGTGAGCGGAGGGTCAACTACGGGCATGAGAGTCGTACATCACTAACCCTACGCGCGGAGAGAGTGCTTGCCTCTCTACACCAGAAAAACGCGAAAAACGGTCACTCAGCATGCGCAGTCACCTGCTCTCCCTTCTCTAAAAATGCATGACGGGGAAAATACGTGCAAAAGGATGCCTTCAGCAAAAACAAAAAAAAAAAAAAAAAAAAAAAAAAAAAAAAAAAAAAGAAAGAAAGAAAGACAAAGAAAATAAAAGAAATGATTAAAAAAAAGGGAAACATCAACACATTTTGAACTTTTGTTGTAGAGCGTTTTCAAGGCTCGATATTTCAAGCATTTTTAGGTTTAGCTTTTGTTTTATTAAGTCTCGCCTTTTCGCCCCTACGTGCTATTTTGATGAATCTATAGTTTTGATGATTTATTTTTAGTGTGTGCTTGAACTTGGCTCAGCACTTACCGTGCTAGACATTTTAATCCCTTGTTATGGTTGAAGATAACTAGTTTGCTAGGTGGTCATGTTTGAGTTGGTAAAACTGACCTTGAGTTTTACCCACACTGAACATCCTGTTTTGGAAGTTCCCACGGTTAGCTAACCCAAACATGTCTGTGATTTTTGTATTTAATACTGGAGCACTCCTTGCTGAAAGTAGTAGAAATAAGTAGTAGGAATAAGTAGTAGAAATAAGCAGTGGAACAAGAGAGAGAATAAAGAAGAAAATTACAGAGTCTCAGTACCTCTTGTTAATTTGCCAAGCGAGTGGTAAAACCCCTCAACACTTTTGTAGGCTCCAAAGAAACGTCTCAAAGATGAAACGCCTGTAATTTATTGATTATTGCACGCACGAAAAGGCAAACAGAGTGCAAAATGAACAACGAAGGGAATGCACCAGAGAAAGAAAAAGCTAAGGAAGGTAACCTGGCCCCAAGGGGAACACTAATCATTTTAAGACAAAAGACCATTCTTTTCTTAGCCTTTTTCGCTTTATTTCAAAAGCGTTACTAAAAGTGAAATATTTCAAATAACAACTGAAAAAATGTTTAATCAGTAAATCAGTTAAAACGAGATCAAAGCGAAAACAGAGCAAACTGACAAAAAAAAAATAGAAAACAAAAAAAGGGAGGGAAAGAAAAGAAAACGAAAAACTGATTACAAATTAACAAAAGTTTTAAGACGGTTTAGCTCATCTTGTCATCAGCGAGGATACGATGAAGCGAGAGTAAAATTGTTGTTCAGGTCATATCGCCCATCACCGCGCACACGAACGAGTACCGGTCCATAATCCTGCGGTCCATCCAGTCCCACGGGTACAACATTTACTGCTCCGCCAGATATGTCGCTGAAAGGGGTTTCAACGTCGCAGTTTCCTTTTTTGTACGTCTTCTTACAGGCGTATGTGGCAAAGCCTGATTGCTGATCGTTTGCGATGACTGTGATGGTGATGTTGTAGTGGTGTTCGGGACCAAAACAATAGTCAAGAGTGTACAACTTGTGCCGTCTTGTTTGGACGCTTTGAATGGAGGAGCTTATGAAAATTGGGACCAGGTTACCGGCTAAGGGATGATAAAAATAAGAAATGACTTAAAACTTTCTTTAGGCATATAATCTTGCGCCGGGAAAAAAAATTTGCGTTTTTAAATCGTTTCGAAAAGCCTGGCCATTGCACTTATAAAAGTTAAAACGGCTATCTCTAATGAGGCTTTGTAGCATGCGCATTCTTTAATTCGCATTAGGAGCTTGAGGTACTTGTACTTCGTAAGTCTTATGCAACTCAGCTAATTCTCAGGGCTCTCTCTAGCATTCAAAATAGCAACAGGTTATCGTAGGCTCAGTGGGGGCACTATTTAATGATAAGGAAGTTCTCAATGAAATAAAATTATGGTGCAAAATCTACTCACCGCTTTCTACACCTTTCCTCCTGTAATTCTTCGCTACAGCATATTCTTCATCAGTCATTTGCCAACGGGGAACGCAGGGAAGAGGGAGATACACTCTGTCTTTGTAATCAAATGTCAGAGAGAGGGTGAACGTAAAGGCAGGAGCAGGGCCTGTAACGACGTCAAAAAACAAATCTTTGTACCTGAAAAAACAAAAACAAAGCAAGGAAAGGAAAACTTCAGAGCTCTTCAAATGATTTCCAAGAACGGGAAGAAAACAAAAGGTTAAGGAAGGTAAAAGATTTGTTTATCTGCTTACATTAGTCATTCATGAAAGTTGGTTTCTGAATTGGAACACATTCCACATAGCTTGGTCTACATGTATCAAAAGATGTACAACCAGTCAAGTGAAGAGGGTTGGAAATTCCTATTTGTACCCTTTTCAATTGAGCTATCAAAAATCAATGGTCAAACAAAAGCGAAATGGATTTCTAAACTCATGTTTGAAGATTAGCTTCAGTTTTGAAAACATTTTATTAACAAACTATTCAATCAGTTTATTTAACTATCTCTCCATACATCCATCCATCCATCACACGCACACACACATACACACACACACGGCACAGGTAGTTACGTGAGGGGTTGTACATACTTAGCTGAATATGTGAAGTTGAAGTCAGGCACAGCTGTATCCTCATTTATTAGATTTGTGGCAATAACCTGGCCAGTTGGATCCGATGCTCTCACATAAACGGTGATGTAATCTCCCGAATCCTTGTCCCAAGGATTGTTTGCCAAGTTTACTGCAAAGCGAGCATTTAAGCCGTCAAAACTGCATCCTCCACAGAGAGCCGCATGGTAGGAGACGTTCTTCTTGCCAGGAAATTGCTGGTCATTCTGTGTGATAAACTGTACTTCTACTGGAATGGGGATTGGGGCAAGCGGCAGCCCATCCTCTAACTCGATCATCCTGAAAGATGACCCTTGGGCAGTGGTTAAAAAAGCGCCTAAAAATTATGAAAAGTGAATAATGGTAAATAAATTTATACGTAAAAATTGAATGAAACTATTTGTTTCTCATTTAAGATCATAATTTACCAGCTGTCTGTGCGAGCGGACAATAGAAAACGTATCATGCAAACCATTATGGGCCAGAATTGCAACATTATGGGCCAGTATTGCAACATCATGAAACTTGACACCTATATTACATGGTTGTTCAAATACCTAGTGGTCAAGAAAGGGACACTTTAAGCCCGTGGATTTTGAACAATAGAAATGCAAAATTGTGAATCATGATGCTAAGCATGAAACCTTAAGCGATAAGCTAGAACCTTCGCCATTAGGACTAGCTCTGTTTTAGGTAACACTCTTCTTGCTTTTAAGTACTTTTAGTCCTGTTTCGCGGAATTTGCGTGACTAGACCGCCTCCCGGTTAGCTCAATAGGATAGAGCGCTGGACTGTTGTGCGGGAGGTCGAGGGTTCGAGCCCCGGCCGGACCAACACTCAGGGTCTTAAAATAATTGAGAAGAATTTGCTGCCTTTCTATAACATCAAGAAATGGTTAGATATTCTAGTCTTCTCGGATAGGGACGAATAAATGGAGGTCCCGTCTCCTGCAGGGTTGGGGTAGGAGACGTTAATTTCCCACACACGAGATTACTGTGTGATGGATGTCCTCCCCTGGGGTGGGATGGGTGGGAGGGTGGACTAGCACGAATGGTTCCTATGTTCCTTTCTAGTCCTTCCCCACTGCAAAATTAATGCAGTGAAAATGGACTAAATTAAATTAAATTAAATTAAATTAAATAAATTAAATTAAATTAAATTAATTAAATTAAATTAAATTAAATTAAATTAGACAGAAATCTGCATATTTCCGCTTTCGGTTTTGGTCGTTGCAAACAGATGTTCGAACTGTCTGATTGGCGAGATAAACTATAAGAATTTGAACATGCTTTGAAAAGAAATGCATTTTATTTCAAGTTTAATGGGAGGGGATTTGTTTCAGGCAGAGATTAACACAAACGAACGATGATCTAAACCGTAATTTAAGAATTTAAACAAAGTTTAATTGATAAGGACCTTAAGATGTCAGGACGGCAACGCTAAAGAAGACATCGATTTAAAAAGGAATTGCTACTCTTAACTAGAATTTCGAAAATGGCTGCATGTGTTTACCGTCTTATACGGCACCACACCTCAACCTCAACATAACGCACAAACCTAGTTAAAATAATTAAAATAATTTGCTGTCGCGGTTTCGGTTCGCAGACGGCGCAATTTTTGGTTATTTCACGTTGTTTTCTTGCAAAGGACGGCTAAGAAATTTACAACATTTTAAAATGCATGTGCTGAATTATTGTTTTGCCAATTAGATTTGTTTTCCCACGTCCTCGTTGCAGTCACAGTCGTGGTTTGTTTAAAGTCCCTATAAATAGCGCGTGTGAGCGTGCACGAGCAAAGTACAAATGAAAATTCCAGTCAACATTCAGCGATAAATATGATGCAAAGTACAAATGAAAATTCCAGTCAACATTCAGCGATAATTTGTGTGCATACGTTATAAAACTCACCGAAAAGAAGCAAGGCAAACATTTTGGACTTAATACCTCAAAAGCAATGAGTAGTTGTCGTGTCGCTGCGATGGCACAGTGGAATTGAGCTTTTGCCGAGACCGAGACAGCTGTAAGAGGTGGTGATGTCACGAAATGGCAAGGAAACGTTTTTATTGGCTCTGAAAACAATACTTACAAAAGCAACTTTCTTAGGGGGCCAATAGAAATGCAAGTTCCAACGAAGTAGTCTGCCGCGGAAAAGGGGCAGAGCCCAATTCTTGGAATCATAAATAAAATATGCTCGATCCATCGAAAACATTCATTGATTTAGCATCCGCAGAATGTTATTCTCTTGGCTAAACCAAAAGAAGAAAAATTTCAGTCTGATAAACATTTCTGCTAAGCTCAGAAAAAAATCATATTCCGAAAACAAATCGCCTTTTAAGAGTTGCATATAACCCCAACATTAATTATGCATTCATTTCATAAAGACTAAATATAAAGGTTTCTTTGCAATATTCTATGCATGATTAACGTAAGGGATTAACTCTTTAACCTCGAGACAGCATGACTGAATCTTATGACCATCATTTGACTGAGAAAGTTTGCATAGATGCGAAAAGATTTCTGCGTGGCTCTGGTTTAGCTTCCAATCGGGAATCACTGCTAATGACGAGCTGAATTGTTGATAAAACTTGTTACTTCAACCCCCTTTAACGGAATAAAAGTTAGATACCGTAGTTTCTCGGTTGTTTATTCAGAAACGGAACTTATTATTCTCATTGTTTATTCAGAGACGGAACGCTTTGAGCGAGCGACATAACAATTCTAGGAATTTGAAACGTGGTTCAAACGATGTTTCGTTGTCATGGATATCATGTTACCGAGCTCTTGCTGTCAAGAAAGTGTGCAAACTTCCGTTTGTTTACTTTCTATGGAAGTTGGTTAGTGTTCTAAAAGCAGTATTCCTTTTGGTGTAGAGCGTTTTCGAGGCTCGATATTTCAAGCATTCTTTTTACTTTACCTTTTGTTTTATTAAGTCTCGCCTTTTCGCCCCTACGTGCTATTTTGATGAATCTATAGTTTTGATGATTTATTTTTAGTGTGTGCTTGAACTTGGCTCAGCACTTACCGTGCTAGACATTTTAATCCCTTGTTATGGTTGAAGATAACTAGTTTGCTAGGTGGTCATGTTTGAGTTGGTAAAACTGACCTTGAGTTTTACCCACACTGAACATCCTGTTTTGGAAGTTCCCACGGTTAGCTAACCCAAACATGTCTGTGATTTTTGTATTTAATACTGGAGCACTCCTTGCTGAAAGTAGTAGAAATAAGCAGTGGAAAAAGAGAGAGAATAAAGAAGAAAATTACAGAGTCTCAGTACCTCTTGTTAATTTGCCATCTACCATTTGAGTGGTAGAACTCCTCAACACTTTTTAATTCATAGGAATAAAGGATTGGGTTCTAGGCAATCTTCGCTACACTTCAGACCAAAAAGCTCTGCTCGTGTTGGATTCGTTTCGTGGTCATTTGACGGAGGCCGTATAAGAAAAGGTTCTTTCAGAACCACCACAAGGGCTCTTTTCAGAGCCACCCTAGTTCTTTTCAGAACCGCCTGATCTGAAAAGGTATGACGGTATATTTGTATAACGGAGACTTGGCTGCATGTCTGCTGATATCCCAAATTCGTGCGTTGCTATTCCTGAATAATTCATCTATTTCACAGGGACTGTACTAATACCACAGAAGGTGGAATGTGTATCTATTTAGACCAGAAAATACCGTGTAAATTATAACGGTCCTGCGATCAGGAGGATGTGGAATCGTTGGGGATCTCAATGAGACCTTATAGTTTACCAAGACAAATAACATCTATTGTTTTAGATGTTATCTATCACCCGACCACCAACCGCGAACCTGAGAATGTTATTCTTCGTGACCATATACAAAAAAACCTTGATACGTTGGTATTGAAACAACCTAAAGCTCTTGTTGTGTTAACTGGAGATTTTATTCCCACCTCAACTGGATTTCGCGCACAATACACAAGTGGGATGAATAAACTAAAACAACTTGTAACCTATAAAACTCGTGGTACTGTCACGCTGGACCGGTTTTCTACAAACAGTATACGTCACGCAAACACGAAACTCGCACTTTTTTTGTAAGGAATAGAACTTGAATTTTCAAATATGGTGATCACATCACCTACGAGCGAAGCTACAGAAAAATTTCAGATAAAACTGTTAAAAACAGAAGTTATGGACGGAAGCAAGTCGGTTAGACAGACAGCTACCCGAAGATGACTGATAACCTTTAACCTACATTCCAGCACGCAGGCATTATTCTAAACTGCTATTTTTTTTTCCTGTTTTTCCGAGAAAAACAGGATGAGTCTATGAATTCAAAAATAATATTTATAACTGGCTTATTGGAAAATCCCCGAGTGGATATGGAAGGTCACACTGAGCATGATGATAAACATTACATCGGTTATTGCACCTTCCCTGCTTTCATAGCGCGGAGAGATCTCAAGAAAAACCGTTATCCTTGACGTTACGTAAAAAAAATGAGGCGAGATCTATGTTTTAATGATTCTGGCTTTATTGAAATTATCTCATGTACCATGGAGAGTTAACGCATCATGCTTTTAATTAATTGCATGACGCTAACAAATTCATTACGGTCCCTGGATAATAACTTACAAAGCTCAGCTTGGAATAACTATCTTAGCATTAACTTGTTATGCAAAATCATTGCTGTTTGTTCGAAAAAATTCTGCTCATAAGCTTGGAGGCCTTCGACCTCTCTATAAAAACCAAATTTAACACCAC